GGAATGCACAGGAACGGAGTTCCGGCTGGCTCCCAAGTTGGCCACGCCCAGCAGGAACTCATTAACATAATAGGCCACACCCAACAGCAGAAACTCATTAGGATTGGCTACATTAGGGGGGTGTGGCCTAACGTGCAAAGGGGTTCCTGCTACAAAAAAAGGCCCTGGGTTTTGACAACAAACAAGGTAAACAGAATAAGAAGCAAGAGGTGGGCGTGGCTGGATGACCACACTTCTGGTAACATGGGGGTGTAGCCTAATATGTTAATATGCTGTGCTGTCAGGGGTGTGGCCTAATAGGCTAATGAGTTCCTGCTGTTGGGTGTGGCCTATTATGCTAATGAGTTCCTGCTGGGCTTTTTCTACAAAAAGAGCCCTGCCCTGGGTAGTACTTGGATGGGAGACAACCAAGGAAATACGGGGTTTCTATGCAGAGGTGAGCAATACTAAACCACCTCTGTTTCTCTCGTCTTGAAAACCCTACGGGGTGGCCATAAGTCAGCTGCAACTTAATGATACTTTCTTCTACCACCACTGTATAAAGCAAAAGCTCTTTCCCTCTCGACCTGGATGCCTCAGGCTCCATTGAAGTAAATGGATTTAGAAGAGCATAACTCTCTTGGGATGGGATTAGGATTCCTCCTGTCTGCGGATCGCTCAGCTCCCCCAAAACTGTTCCATCACGTCAGAGCAGCTTCCCAGAGGGAAGGGGAGGCTTCATGGGGGAGGGGGGTGTATTGGTGAACTGTAATGTATTGAAATGACTACATGAATCGCCTCATTCACCTCCTATGTTAAGCTTCGAGCCAGACGAAGGCTCCTCCGCACTAACGTGCTATTGGTCGCTCGACAACAGCGACCAACCAGGAAAGGACTACTTCCCCGAGCGGTAAGAGCTCTCATTGGTCCTTATCCGCACAACCTCATTGGTTGTTAAGTGTAAATAGGCGTGGCTACATTAGCCCGGGAATGTTTAAATGGAGCCTAGCTCTTAATGTTAAGTTGTTCTGGTTATGATTGAATTCAAGCGCTTGTTCGTATCTGCAATAAAGCTGATCACTTTGGTTGAAATCACTCTCCGGGTCTTTGTTAGCGGCGATCTAACATGAACCCCCAATGCAAGCACAATCCCTTTCCACTTGTGTAGGAGGATCTTTCGATCAGAGCCACAAGAGATGTGATCTTTCCTGTGAATATTTTTTCTCCCCTCACATCTCTATGTCAGTCTGTTTATTACACGCTGTAGTGTCAATGCTCAAATACTGTTTTCTTTCCTTTTTGTTGCCAGTACCTTCCCTGTTCCCACTCTTTTAAAAAAAGATCTGTGCACGCGCTTTTATGCTTTGTAATTACTTGTCAAAATCTTTCAGCTCTTTCTTTCACTTAATGTGTTCTATTCTCTTTCTAAACTGCTAGCCAAGTGTGTTCCCCGCCCCCAACATCAACAGCATTTCTTTCCTTGCTAGATTTCTGCTTTATGACTCACCTTCTTATTTTTCATTTCTCCCTACATACCTGGCTACCATTTACTTAGCCGCTATTAATAATTGCTACTGTTCTAAACTGGGGACCTTAGACACAATCTTCTCCTACGTGCCAGTGTCTCATTTTCTTACTCTTCTTTTTTCTTTCAATGGAAAATATTTCCATCTTTATTTGTTTTAGAACTCTGCTTCCTATCGACTTCTCCATTGGTATGATTTAAAAAAAAAAATCATCGTTTTGAACTGTCAACACTCTTACATCACTCCATGCCCCTCCTGCCTCATCTCATTTTTTTGTCAAGGGTTCTCACAAAACGTATGGCAATTGTGAAAGGTTTGCGGTAGTTTTTTAAATGCATACACCTGTCAGAGCACCAACAGCATCCGAATCTTTGCCCCTCTCATTGGCCAGACTCCCTTGCCATCTGTAACCTTCATATGTCCTCACATAAGACTATCAACTGCATTCTTCCCGCTGCAAATGTTGTGAAAAGGGCACACACATGTTCCCAGTATTCTCAAAACATCCTCTGATTTCACTCTGTTTTTCAAAAATGCAGACATTTCCTCTTTAGGAAACATTAACCGACAAGATTCTAACTTCACATTAACAACAATTCCTGGGACTGGCTGCACGGAATTCTTGCTTTGCTCATGTCCAGCTTTGCTCATGTCCAGCCCAACCCACCCTTCCCTCTGAAGTGTATTGAGGGTGAGGAGAATGTCCACTTTGCGCATCACCTGTTCATCATAACCCCCTTCCCAGTGGCTGGGGTCTCCTGTCTGTGTGCCACCGTCCTCAGCTTTCCAAGAGCTGAAAGTCAAGGGAAGTGGAGGTACTTGGCTTGAAGTCATGCTAAGAAGGAAAAAAGACACGGCTGTCTGGTGGGCTTTTTATCTCTGTTTATCTCAATCAGCGCATCTCGCCTAGCAGCATGAGCGCAGAAGAGGTTATCTGATCCCGATTGGAGGTTTAAAAAGCCAGCCAAGAAGCAGCCTCTCTTTTCCACTCCCTACCTTTATTTATAAATTCTTATGCCCCACCCTTTTTCCATAACACAGGTCAGGGTGGAATACATGGGGTTACCGGGGGGTCTCCCATCTAGGCTAGATCGAGACCAGCTTGGCTTCAGCAACTTTGCACGCACATAAGAACATAAGAGATGCCAATGTTGGATCAGGCCAAAGGCCCATCCAGTCCAACACTCTGTATTCACACAGTGGCCAGAAATACCAGTGCCATCAGGAGGTCCACCAGTGGGGCCAGGACATTAGAAGCCCTCCCACTGTTGACCCCCCTCCCCAAGCACCAAGAAGAAAGAGCATCACTTGCCCCAGAGTCCCTATCTATACCTTGTGGCTAATAGCCACTGATGGACCTCTGCTCCATATGCTTATCTAATTCCCTTTTGAAGCCGTCCATGCTTGTAGCCGCCACCACTTCCTGTGGCAGTGAATTCCAAGTGTTAATCACTCTTTGGGTGAAGAAGTACTTTCTTTTATCCGTTCTAACCCGACCGCTCAGTAATTTCATGGAGTGCCTTATAGTGAAACTACCTTATAGTGAATCAGAACATTGGTCCCTCAAGGTCAGTATTATCGACTCCAATTGGCAGTGGCTTTCCAAAGGTCTTTCATATCACCTCTTGCCTGATCATTTTAGCTGCAGATGCTGGGCGGACTGAACCTGAGGCCTTCTCCATGCAAAGCAGATGCTCTACCACTGCACCACCAACCCCTCCCAAAAGCTGCTTATCATGTGCCTTTAGACCAGGGGTGTCAAACATGTGCCCGGGGGGGGGGACCGGATCAGCCCCCCCCCTGGAGGGCTTCTATCAGGCCCGCAGTGGAACTGGCTGTCTTCTGCTTCTTCTTCCAGTTCTGCTGCTGCTGCGTCATCATAGGTTTGCAGCTTACAGATACACGCCTGAACAGCATACTCAAGATTGCAACAGCACAGACATTTTGATGCAATAATTCAGAGCAAGAGGCGTCAGTTATCAGACCCTGTTAAATAAACAAAATATTGCAAGAGTGCTAATGTTTTAAGCAATTTTAAGTAAAAAAAACAAACCTTTGTGTTTGTGTCCTTTATAAAGTCTATATCTCCACTCCCTGGCATTACATTTTATGACACACCTGGCCCAGCCCAACAAGGTCTCATTTATGTCAGATCCGGCCCTCATAACAAATGAGTTTGACACCCCTGCTTTAGACCATACTACTTGTGTCCCTTTGAGGCAAATTCCTCCAGTTTCCATGGACTGTTCTCAACAATCAGCATCTGGCTACTTTTCATACTGTGAACATAATCTAGTCAGGCTCTCAAGCACCCAGTGATGAATCTGGAGAAATCACATGCCGAAACACCTGGGTCTTCTGCCAAACTGATATGTTATAGTTATTACGATAGAGGTTTCTATGACCTGAAACTGAAACTTACTTTGAAAAGGTACTAAGAAGTATCCTGTGGTCGAAAGTTCCACTCAACCACGTTTTACATTGTGGGTTAGGACAAAAAAGACTGCAAGTCTTGCCAGCTTAATCGCCCAGTTTCCAACAGAGATGAAATGAGAAATTAGTGGTTCTCAAGTGGATGATTTTTTTTTTGCATCTTCCAGCCCTTGCATCCCCAGCCCTCAATTTTATGCTATTCCTAGTCAATTTCACACTAGTGAGCACATGAAGCAGAAAACCAGGACTATACACATCAGACATGGCAGCGACTCAGCGAGTAATTGGAATTTTTACCTTTTACAGTCACATTCCAAAGGAAAACTCAGACAACTTATGTCAGTACAAAGGAGGAGATACAATTATCTCCTAAATGTTGCAGAAGTACAATAAAGGTGATGAATTTTTTTAATCGTTTAGGAATTGGGAATAACGACACAGAGATAACCTTTCCAAACACTTTCCAAAAGAACAGAAGGTCAGGGTCCAGCAGTCTTCTACCAAAACTGACCGTATGCTGTTAAAGGGATATGTCATTATGCTCTAGCTGGGCTTTTACTGGTTAGGATAAGAGTCCTTCCTTAATTCAGGATTGTCTTTGGTCACACTCCTGCTGGAATTGTATGCCCACGGCTGGAGAAAGCCGATCATTTTCTTTCCCCAGAACATCAACGATGGTATGTTAGAGCCATGACTGCATGCGGTGTGCACACCAAAGGTTTTTTCCCCCCAGTCCCACTGTTATCCGTGATCAAATAGGTGTAGCAGGTTATAACAAACACTGCTTGATTAGGCAACAATGGAACAAAAGAAAAGAGAATGTAGACCATGGAGGACAATAATTCTTTTATACCATCTTCAGCACACTGAAAAAATGACCCATTGCCTGCAGTGTCTGAGTGAACACTGTTTTGAAACAGAACATGGAGTACGGCAACTGAATCTACCTCAGAGAAAGTTAGATTTGAGTTCAGTAGCACCTCAAAGACCAACATGGCTACCTGTCTGAATCTACCACAGAGAAAAGTAAAATAAGGATCAACAGAAATAGCTGGGCCTTACCTGCTGCGTAGTTGCATCCTGCTGTAAGTCACTTGGGACGGGTCTGTAAACAGAGTCTAAACAAAATGATAGTCTGAATTTTAAAAAACCCCAAAAACTCTTGTACTGTTTACTTGTACCTCACAGCAACAGAATAGCTTCCCTACTAGGGAAGTGACCAGGGACAAAAGAGATGATTCTATTCTATAAGAGCATAAGAAGACCAATGGTCCATCTAGTCCGGCATTCTGTTTCACACAGTGGCAAACCAGTTATTCTGGAGGGCAACGAACAGGGCACAGAAACCAAGGCCTCCCCCTGATGTTACCTTCTAGCACTGGTGCTCAGAGGTTTACTGCCCCTGGATGATGTGGAGGTTCCCCTTAAGTCATCAGGTCTAACAGCCATCTATCCCTGAATTGGTCTAATCCCAGTTTCGTAACATTAGTTTTATTTTTAAAAAAACAATAATCCGTTGTGTTGAGAAAGTTCATACAGACAACTTTGTCTCCATGTTCCAGAATACCAGAAATCAGCATCACTCAAATGAAACTGACTAGCAATAGATTCAGGACAGAATAAAGTATTCACACAATATATAATTAATTTAGGGTATGCGCTGCCATATCACATTTACCACTGACTTAGGTGATTGGGAAGGGGGAATGGACAAACTCCTGGAAGGAGTGGTCTCTCACTGGGTATTGACTACAATGGCTAAATGTTCAGAGACAATATTGTACTGAACGCCATTTGCTGTGCGACAACAGCAGAGGAAGGCTACTGCTTTCATGCACTACTTGTGGCCTCTTAGAAACACATAGTCGGTGACTGTAGGAAACGATGCTACACCAGATGGACCTTTGCTCTGATCCAGCATGGCTCCTCTTACACTCACAATGCTCATTACTCGGCCAATGCGATGAAATAATCCACAAAACTAACCCCAATACGATACCTGTATGTATGCTTAATAGAATTGTTCTCATAGCCTTAACATCAACATTCTAAGAGGCCATCTATGAAACACGGGGTAATGAATTTACATTTGCATGGTTTCCTAACATTTAGAAAAGTCATGTGCCAGACAGCAGTAAGAAAATGCACACATAGCTTCCTAGGCTCTGCCGAATGTTTCCCTTTTCATCTCAGATTGAAAGCAAAGCCCTGCGTAGCCATTTAGACCAAGAGGGAAGACTCGTAAAAAGAATGGACTGTATCGTACAAAAATTTAGACGTGGGAATGGACCCAGTAAGGTCCTAAAAACTCTGCAGAAGAGGATTTTTCTTTTTTCGCCATCAAGTCACAGCTGACTTATGGTGACCCTGTAGGGTTTTCAAGGCAACAGACATACAGAGGTGGTTTGCCATTGCCTGACTCTGCGTCATGACCCTGGTATTCCTTGGAGGTCTCCCATCCGAATACTAGCCAGGGCTGTCCTTGCTTAGCTTCCAAGACTGGACGAGATCGGACTAGCCTGGGCTATCCAAGTAAGGGCATGATAATTCTAGCATTGTTTCAAAAAGAAAAAAGACACAAGTAGGCTAGGGTTACCAACACAAACACGACTGGTCTAGAGCAGTGGTTTACAAATTGTGTCTCCTAGAAATGTATCAGGGTTTCTTCATTAAGAAGAGCAGTAAAGGCAAATGAGCTTCTCTGAGAGACAACACATCCACCACTACTAATGGGTAAATGCAGGAGAGTGCGTCTAGTGCACACTTTCTGTCCACATCAGCCCAGATCTGTCATGTACTGTGCGTAAACTAACGGTGCACCTTAGATCATGCTCCCAAATCCCTGGCCAACATACGAGGATTCCATGGAAAATGCTTAAAAAGTGACTTGGGAAGAAAAACTGGAGAGGGAATTGTTCCCTGAAGGCAGAAGGTTTGAAGACAGTTCTACCTCAGCAACTTTGACTACTTAAGGGTTAGCGCAACTGCTATAAGTGTACAAGTTTGCGCGACCTAATTACCAGCAGTTACCTAAACTTCGCTGCACAATCAAGGACTCAGGAAAGCATTAATTAGGAAACCCTTTACTTTATATAACACAGCGACGGCTGAAATCCTCCACTGATTACTGATGGCGTCTTTTAAAGGGGGGGGGGGAGAAAAGAGGTCAAACAAACTTAATTATTCCATTTCCACAGAAGCGAAATGGACAGGGCTTCGGTGCTCAATAGCCTACCAGCAGCTTTTGATTACAACATCTGCACTCTCATTTAGGATGAAAAGTCCCAACTCCCACTTCGCCGATGGCAAGACGATTAAGCACAGCTGAGAGCTATTAGGCATTCACACAGCTTTGCAAGCAGCTGGCCCCGGTCCTGGACAACATAATCTGTCCCTGTGGCCAGAAGTAGGCAGACACTGCGGTGCAGGGGGGTGGTGGTAACTTGCCTGAGTGGCCTCCACAGGATGGATGTAAACCAGCGTGTGCTCTGAGGTATCCACTGAGGTGTAAGAGGTGCCGTCGGCCGTGTAGACCACCTGTTGCGGAGGACGGTCTTGGTCATCGCTGTACACGATCTGAGCCACCGTTCCACCTTCCGGGACAAAGTGAACCTGGGGTAGAGGAAAGAAAGAATAAAGGAACAGCTGGGTACCAAGGGAATACACTTGAGTGTAGAGAACACACTTTATAAAAGCACATCCGTAAAAACAGTCCCAATGTGCGTGCTCAGCTTGTATTAAAAAGGAGCAAGGAAATAACCTGATCGTGTCGAATGGGCACCTCCAACTTTAAATACCACCTTTGTCGAAAGCTGAGCACTGGAAATAAATCACCAGCTGTTCGATCGAACTGTCCAATCGAGAAGTCAGTTCATTGTGACCAGAGAATATTGTCTATAACCACTGGTCAACAGAATGGAAGTCAATTAACTAACAGGGTCCAAATATTCCCATTACAGTTCTACTGAGATTAAATAATTCCATTTTGTTTCCAATGGAAGACCATATATCAGTAGAAGTGTCATCACAGGCAGAGATTCGACAGGTACAATGATTCCAAGGACATGGGTAGAGAAAGCGGGCCCTGCACCTAATTAAAGATACAGAGACTCTGTTGGGGAGAAAATGGTGGCAATGCTTAGGTCAGATGAGCTGAATCAGAATAGATCCTACTTCTGCATCTTTCATAGAATCATAGACTGTTAGAGCTGGATGATACCTTGCAGGTCATCTAGCCCAACCCCCTGCGCTCTGCAGGAGCATAGCCGAAAGATAGCCCTACAACATACCTGAAAGATGGTCGTCCAACCTCCGCTTGAAGACGTCCAGTGAAGGAGCATCCACCACCTCCCGGGGGCAGTCTGTTCCACTGCTCAACCACTCTTACAGTTAGGGAGTTTCTCCTGATATTTAGCCAGTATCGACTCCCTTGTAATTTCCACCCATTAGATCTAGTCTTGCAATCCGGAGCAAGAGAGGATAGATCTGCTCCCTTCTTCTACATGACAGCCCTTCAAATATTTGAAGACTGCAATCATGTCCCCTTTAAGCCTTCTCTTTCCCAGGCTAAACATACCTAACTCTTTCAGCCTTTCCTCATAAGACTTGGATTCCAACCCTCTCACCACCCTGGTTGCAGGTCACTGGAATAGATCCTTCATTATCCATCTCCTTAGGAGCAATGCTATCTTCTACAGCCTTCTACAGCCTCCAGGAACTTCCCTCAAAGTCTGACGTAAACTCTTGTTGCGGTTTCCCGGCCTTCCTCTGTATCATGTATCTTGGCTATTGTGCTACTTACTAATTATACTGTTTATTTCTCCTCTGACATGGTGCAGCAGGTCTGCTCCGGTTTTCTGACTCCATTTTTGAAAATGTGGTTTAATATTTATTTATTTATTTACTGCACTTACACCCCGCCTTCCTCCCCAGTCAGAACCCAAAGCACCTCGCATCATTCTCCTCTCTTCTGTGTTATACCCACAGCAGCCCTGTGAGGTAGGTCAGGCTGAGAGTCTGAGATTGGCCCAAGGTCACCTAGAGAGCTTCCATGGCGGAGCAGGGATTCGAACCTGCATCTCCCAGATCCTAATCTGACGCTCTGACCATTAATATGAAAGGGCCTGATTTAGACAAAGTCTTGGTCTAAAAGGCAGTGGGTTCCCTCCCTATCCTATGGTTCTATGTGAGTCAGCTAAATGTACCATTTTTGTCTCTGGATCGCTGCACCCCTAAAACCACTATACAGTATTTATGTACGGGCTGTCAAGTTGCAACTGTCTGTGGAGACCCCAGCAATGGGCTTTCAAGGCAAGTGAGAAGCAGAGGTGGTTGGCCATTGCTTTCCTCTGCCGAGGCTTTCTAGGTGGTCTCCCTTCCAAGTACCCACCCTGCTTAGCTTAGCTTCTGAGATCTGACAAGATTGGTCTATATCAGGGGTGTCAAACTCATTTGTTATGGGGGCCAAATATGACATAAATGACACCTTGTTGGGCCGGGCCATGTGTGTCATAAAATGTAATGCCAGGTAGCACAGATCTAAACTTTATAATATATGCTTAAAACATTAGCACTCTTGCAATATTTTGTTTATTTAACAGGGTCTGATAACTGACGCCTCTTGCTCTGAATTATTGCATCAAAATGTATCTGTAAGCTGCAAACCTACGATGACACAGCAGCAGCAGAACTGGAAGAAGAAGCAGAAGACAGCCAGTTCCACTGCGGGCCTGATAGAAGCCCTCTGGGGGCCTGGTCCAGCCCCCGGGCCGTATGTTTGACACCCGTAGTCTATATCATACCATTCCACATCCCTCTAACTTTACAGTACTGACGTATGTTCAGGTATGTTTCTATATCATACACACACAATGTTTAGATATAGATTTTTTTTGCAAAGTTTCCAGCTTAGCCAGTGTCAGGTCCCACACAAGCAACCCTTTAAACGTGTGCCCGTGCAGGCAAGCTCTGTTCATACATGAATCCTGCAAACGTTAGCAGTCAGAAAACGCATTAGCCACTAGTCACCTGAGCAGTGCTCTGTTCCTGCTCAGCTGATTCAGACCACACCTGTGCAGATTCTTCTTTCAAGTCCATGTCATCCCTGCTGTGGTCCTCCATGGTGTGATAACTAAATTACTGGGACCAAGCTTGGTTGAATAGAGTCATCCGCCTGCTCCGTCTCGAGACAAGGGGATCTTCTGTACCATGGCTACAGAGAAAGACAGAAGACAAGAGGGGAAAAGACAAGACGTCAAAGAGCAGCATACTGGCTTTGGTGAATAAAGGGGGCTGAAAGATGTACTACTTAACGTGTGATAAAATCAAGAGAAATAAAAATCCGGTTCTCGGTGCTCGGTAACATTTGAGCATGGAGTTATACAGAACAGGGACCGGCTCTGCTTCCACTGAGTTCTGGGTAGGACAGTACAAGCAGTTTGGGTCATGGCAGAGAGGAAGGGCCATATAAGAAACCACAAACATCAAAAGGGCAAGTTTTCCACTCTATATACCGGGGGTGGAAATTCTTCTGTGGAAAATGTAATAAAGAAAGCAAGTTACGAATTCACTTATTTGACTGTACCGGTCAAATCAAAACCAATGCTAAAGTGCTTATTCGTTTCCTCTCATATCCTGGAAGGGGTGTTGCAACCACCAGTGTGATATGAAACGAATGCAAGTGATGCTACAGAAAGCGACAGCAAAACTGAGGTGTCCCAGTGAGCTCTGTGGAAGAAAGCTGAACTCTGCAGAAATAGATGGGCAGACAACCACATATCGTGCACAGTTCTTTGGTTGTGCTAAAATTAACGTGTTGTCAGTTTTCAGTGCCTTTGGGGTTTTTTTTCATAAACCGAAGCAAAGTAAGAGAAGTACATGCTATATTATCTTTACATTTTTACAGATGTTACTCTAAGGCCGCGTTCAGACTGGCAGTTTGCAGCGCTAGGGAGTCGCATCAAAGAAGACCCGGAACAGACCCAGAGCCGCTTGGTCGCGGTATTCCCGTTCACACACAACAAATGAAGCGGGAGGATACCGTGGAGGAAGCGCAAGGGAGCGTTCGCACTGTTGGCCCGCCCCTGGCAGGCTGTTAGCGGCTGTTTCTACGCTCCACTGCATGCGCCTATGCGCATGGGTGTATGGGCGCCTGCCGCGGAAACAGCCAGCGCCTATTATCAACGACTGTGGGTTGTTCCTGCCTTACAGTGCTTCTGTTCACACGTCAAGGAACCAGAATAAACCTGCTCTCCACACAGTTTGCTACCACTTCCGCCAGGTACTTTTAAAACTCGGGAGGGAAGTGGTACAAGACGGCTTGAGTACGCCTGATAGCTGTGCCTGTGTGAACCTGCCCCTTTAATCCGCTAGTGAAACACTCCTGAAATGTTTGGCTGTCGGGCCAAACTGCCAGTCTGAACGTGGCCTATAGCCTTTAGATTGTGCTTGATTTGTTTCCCCCCTAAAACGGTTCAGTTCAAGTACATCTTGATCTAAGGACATAACATTAGTATGGGGTATTTTTTATAAAAGTGTACTGAATATTAGTCAAAATAAGCATGCTAAATCAGATCACATTATATAAGGCATCGGAAATATTTCCAGTTCACATTTTCCCAGAAAATATTTAACTCTGTGTAGTTTAGCAGTTCAAGACCCTAGTGGCGGACCCAAGCTCCCGTCTCTGGCCCCAGCTCCTGCCAACCTAGCATTTCGAAAACAAGAAACTGCAAGTAGATAAATAGGTACCACCTCGGTGGGAAGGTAACAGCGTTCCGTGCACCTTGGTGTTTAGTCATGCCGGCCACATGACCACGGAAACATCTTCAGACAGCGCTGGCTCTTCGGCTTGGAAACAGAGATGAGCACTGCCCCCTAGAGTTGGATTCAACTAGCTCTCAAGCAATGGAACCCTTTAACTTTTTACTATTCTCAAGCGTACACCCAGATTCCTGGTCACATACAAGTGCTTTCCAAAACACACTTCATGCCCATAATGATGGGCACTTCAGTGCTACCCTAGAATAACTAAAGCCTTTATTTACATAAATGTGATCCGACTTCAGTTGTTTTCTGAGCATTGGTTTTTGAAGTTCCTGTGTCTACAAGTTGACATCATACTAACATACTGAACCTGTTCAAATGGTGATGGTTTGGGGCTTTTAGAAATACCAAGTCCACCACCACCTGATTCATGGTCATAATGGAAGTTTCCCAGTAGCAACTGGAAAATGTCAGGGAGCATCTTTTAAGACTGTGTAACAGCCATACAGGAGGGATCAAACCATCATGTTAGTGAGAAAACAAAACTCTTTGATGTTGCTGGAGAAAACATTCCATTCTTAACATCTGCAGCATTCACTATACCGTTGAGAGCGTACATACAGAACAGGGGCAAAAACAGATGAAAGCATTTGTCTGCTTCTTGATGCCCCCCCCAGAAAAAAACTTAACACCCAGTACTGTGGATAAACAACTCTATTCCTGTCCCTTTTGTAAACTTCCAAATCAAAGTGAACTCCCAGCAAATGGGAAAAGTCGATTTCTATGGAAACTCAACACAACATGCCTACTTTTATGCTGACCAGGAGGGGGTGCCGTACAGCAAGAATGTCTGCTGCTTGCTTGTGGGCCAGACAGGACAGGGAACCACAGACAGGTTTGTTCATTCCAAAAAAGCTACTCGGCCCTACTGTACGCTGTTGTGGTCCGGCAAATTATCCCAACATAGCCTAAGATTACAATGCTTTAAAAGCATCCGCGCAAACTGCTTCCAGTGCACCATTTCACATCCATGCTATGACTTCTGGATGGCCCACTTCAACATAACTGTCCCACAGGTACGTGCTCATTAGTAAAGGTAAAGGTTCCCTTGCTCGAAAGCCAGTCGAATCCGACTCTAGGGTTGCGGTGCTCATCTCCGTTTCAAAGCCGAAAAGCCAGCGCTGTCCGAAGACGTTTCCGTGGTCATGTGGCCGGCATGACTAAACACCAAGGCGCACGGAACGCTGTTACCTTCCCACTGAAGTGGTACCTATTTATCTACTTGCAATGTCTTGCTTTCGAACTGCTAGGTTGGCAGGAGACGTGCTCATTAGATAACTGTTAAAAACTAAGGAACTCCACGCTCCCCACCACCCGCCTTATACTGGACCCGGGCCTGTGCATCAGGAAGGCTTCAGTCCCCAATTGGCTTGTTTGCATTTTCTAGTTCAACATTTAACCAGCCCCTTTGATCAGGGCTTTTTTTTCTCCCCTCGTCCCACGCGCGCAAGTCCCTCTGGGCAGGCGAAATGCTGAGACAGAATTAAAAACGAAGCTTGGGCTCCAATTTACGTAAGCTCAGGAAACTTGACAAATTGCTTCCACGGACAGCTTTATTCGCCCCTTGCGATTCTAATGGGAGCATCTCAATCTGCCACTGGGAATCTCAGAAGTGTAATTTACAGCTCCAGTGATTGGTTAAGACAGTCATTCAGCACCTTCCCAGTCCTCCGTCTGCGGCGTCATTATTAAATCACAGACTTAGGAATTAGAGCGAGGGCTGAGGCCATTTGATTTTCGGCAAGTCCAATTAACTTTATTTTATCCTGACTGGATGCCTGGGCTGATCTAATAGCACAGTCTTGGCCAAGGAACAAGCAAGCGAGCGGGCCAAAGGCTCCTCGCGGACTCTTCCACCCACCTGAATTTTAAATCCAAATTATTTTTAGATATGATTTATGCCCACATAATGGTATTTGGTTTGTAAATTATGGAGAGGATTTTTCAAAAAAGGGAGGGGGGGACTTTGCCGGCTATTCAACTTGCAAGCCGTTAGCAGTCCTGCAGGCTCGGAGCTGGATCATTATTCTACAGGTCTTTCGCAGAAGGCTCAAATCAATAATGCAGGAAGGGCGAAGCATAACGTCCCTCCGTGGAACAGTAGAAAAATCAACGCTACGTCAGTGTCTGAAAACAAAACAAGCTACAGATTTCTTTACATTATTGTGCCATATATAATGTTATGGATGCCTGAAGCCGCCTCCCTTTCTGCACCTCGGGCTCAGCAAACCATCTCAGCTCGCCAAACCGATTATTTAATTCATTTTTTTAAAAAAGGGGACGCTGTAGAGAGAGGGTACTGTATGCTAAGAAGTTCAAGGAACCCGCAGTGTTAGTTAATAAGAGACATCCGTTACGGTTTACAGTACTGGAGTACGGTGGGAAGGAATTATGGAGGCTCCCCTCGAAATAATGAACATCTGGCAGATCCACATGCACCACAAGAAACCTACAGCTATCAATTGCAGTGTGTTGAGCTGTATTATTACAAGAGAAAAGAAAGTTAAAACAAAACGAACCCTGAGTATTTCTGTGGCCAGGATTCAAAGACTGCCTTTAGCCGCGCTAAGACCTTCTGTACGCTCTCTGAGATTTTTGTTTTACATTTATGCCTTGGCCAGCAGTTGTTTGTGCCAAACCACAAACTGCTTTTGAAATCCCCTTGAGTTCCAAAAGCCATTTTCTTAGCCGACTAGGAAGCTGAGAAACAGCTCCTTTGGGCATATGGAACTCGTTCTGTGGGCTGGCCTTTTTTTTTTGGATTGCACCGTATAATACAGAAGCCATAAAGGTAGAAATATTGGGCCCTGAGGGTTATTTCAGGGGAAGGCCTTGGCCAAAGGCCTCTGTGCCCTGTTGTTTATCTGTCCAGAGGAACCGCTTGGCCATTGTGTGAGACAGGATGCTGGACCGGATGGACCATTGGTCCGATCCAGCAGGGCTCTTCTTATTCCTTATGAAAGAAGCCAAACCAAAGAGTGTGTTACGGTCCATAGCGGTTGCTAGTAATAATGACAACTACAATTTTGTTAAGCGCCTGGGTTGAGAGAGATGGAACAGGGTTACATGAACAATTTCTGTTTGGAATATGTTGTTGAAGGCTTAAGAATAAAAGAACATGAAAGACACTGCAGACTTGGCCAACCTGAAAACTCAGCACTGGCTGAACATAGCCTAACTCAAAGTATTTTGTTCCAAGACACTGAAAAGCTGGACAACACTTCCAATTACCATGTCAGTTTACACAGGAAAGCCATTGAAATTCATAAAGATAAACACAATTTCAACAGGAAAGAAGAGAGTTTAAAAATAAATAGGGCATAGTTTCCTGTCCTGAAAAACACAAAAGGCTCTACATC